TACCCCTAAAGAACAGTGGGAGTCTAAGCTGAATACAGATATAAATCCGAGTCAGCATGATTGCTGGGAAAGGATTCATTCAAATGCAATGCTAGCAAGAAAGAAATAAATTTGTATGGCATTAAAAATTTTTGGTAAATTCCCCTTGTTTGCAACTGCCAATTCTGTAAAGCGTATGGAATTTTTAAAAAAATCTTCATTTTTTTCTGACATTAAATATCATAAAATAAGACAAAATAGGAGCTCTGCAAGGTTCCTTGCAACTGTAAGTGCTTGCTTCTTTTTAGGGGACTCGCTCTAGTGGCAAATGGAAATGATACTATATAGTTTGCTATCTGTACTCTAAGTGTGTTATCCCACTCAGCATTCACAACGTGTAAGGTACACACGTTGTTACCCTGTGCACAGCTTAGGACGTTGAGGCTCAGAGACATTGAATAAATTGCTAACATACTATGGTGGGAAGGAAAGGAACAGGGACTTAAATCCAGGCAGGATCTCCTCCCTCCAAAATGTGTATTCTTTCTGATCTGCATTTATTTTAGCAAAGGGACCCTGCATTCCCCAAAGGCATTTCTATTTGTGCATGCCGTATTCTCTTCTGTGACTTCAATTGATTTCCAGTTTTGTGTTTGTGTCACTAGGAGGACGCATTTGTCAGACCAAGCACGGATCCTCTATGTGGTGGTGGTGGTATTATGAGAGAGTGAGGACTCTGTTGGGGGAGAACTGACTGAGCACTCCCCATGAGGTGGGACAGTTTGAGGGATGAACTTGCATTATTTTGATTAATCTTCAAAAGAACTGCGTAATAAGTGGCTGGTTAAGCATTTATTCATTTAATACATTGCTAATGGTCTCTTATGCGATCAACGAATGAGACAGACAAGATTCTTGCCCTCATGGAGCTCACATTCTAGTAGGGAGAAACAGACAAGAAACAAGCAAGCAACTTGTGTGGAAATACAAGTGACAGGTTGGAAAATATGCTGTCGATGACATTTAAGCTGAGGCCCGGAGGATAAGGAAGCGAAAGACACAGGAGGATCTGGAGAAGCCAAAGGAAGCAACAGTGAGTTCAATGACCCCAAAAGGACAGCAGGCCTGGAGGGTTCAGGGACAGAAAGGAGTTCTGTGAGGTTGAGTGGAGTGAACAGGGCCGCAGGAGGTTCCAAGGGGGTAGACTAAGAAGTTGGCATCTGTAACTTACGGAACGTGTTAATGGGGGATGAGAGAAAGAGAGGGAGGAATGAAGAATGACTCCTAGGGATGGGTGTAAGCCACTGAATGGATGATGGAACCTCTATACTGAGATATGGGCAGCAGGTTTGGGGAGGAGAATCAAGAGCTCTGTTTTGGATGGATTAACTTTGAGATATTTATTAGACAGTCAACTAGAGATGATAGCAGAGAGTTGGCTTTATCCATCTAGAGATTGGGGAGGGGGTTAATAGTAAAAATAGCCCCCCAAAAGACAATCTTACATATAGTAATATCTATGGGTCTAATAACTACTATAATTTTGAAATTGTGATGAGCATTGTGATGTACTTGCTCTTTGGAGATATCCATAAAACTATAGTGCAATAGCAAAACATCTGTGATTTCTATTACTCAGAGGTAAACGTCTTGCTAATATGACTGTGGTTTGTAGGATTAGTGGAAATAGAGATGTAATATTTTTCCCACCTAAATTCACAAAACATCTGAATTCTCCCCATGAGCCTCTTGTGGGTCTCTGGACCCCAGATTAAGAATCTGGCTTTTATCATTGCTTTCAGTAAACTAACACAGGAACAGAAAACCAAACACCGCATGTCCTCACTCATAAGTGGGAGTTGAATAATGAGAACACAGGGAGGGGAACATCACACACCTTGGCCTGTAGGGAGGTGGGGGGAAGGGGAGGGAGAGCATTAGGAGAAATACCTAATACATGTGGGGCTTAAAACCTAGATGAAGGGTTGATGGGTGAAGCAAACCACCATGGCACATGTATACCTATGTAACAAATCTGCACGTTCTGCACATGTATCCCAGAACTTAAAGTGAAATTTAAAAAAAAAAAGAAAAATTTTAATTAACAATGTTATACCGGTAATAAAAGGGTTAGCCCTGGCAAAAAAAGAAAGAAAAATAGTCTTCAATGTGTGACAGTTCCAACCTCATCACAAATAAATAAATAAATATATCAAAATCCGGCTTTTAAAAGAGCAAGGAAAGATACTTCTTCCATTATAACTGGGGTGACAGAAAAGATGGTAACTGGCTGGGCACAGTGGCTCAGGCCTGTAATCCTAGCACTTTAGGAGGCTGAAGCCCAGAAGTTCAAGACCAGCCTGTGCAACATAGTGAGACCCACGTCTGTATCCCCCGCCAAAATAACCCCAAACAAAACTTAGCCAGGCATGGTGGCACACGCCTGTAATCCTAGCTACTTAGGAGGCTGAAATGGGAGGATTGCTAGAGGCCAGGAGTTTGAAGCTACAGTGAGCCAAGTTTGTGCCACTGTACTCCAGCCTAAGGGACAGAGCCAGACCCTGTCTCTATGAAGGAAGGAAGGAAGGAAGGAAGGAAAGGAAGGAAGGAAGGGGGGGAAAGAAAGAAAAAGAGAAAGAAAGAAGGAAAGAAAGAAAGAAAGAAAGAAAGAAAGAAAGAAAGAAAGAAAGAAAAAGAAAGAGGAAGGAAGGGAAAAAAAGGAAAGGAAAAGAAAAGCTGGGAACTGACGAAGGCCAGTTTATAGATTTGGTGGCTTCTGGTTTCTTTCGGAAGGCAAGGTCATCAGCTGAGGGTAGGGAGGGAGGAAAGGGGTAAAGAGGTGGGAGGTATAAAATGCTCAGCTCTGATGGGGAATACCAACTTTTAGGGAAGAGTAACAAGCTTTCTGGGCTGTACATGACTGTCATTAAGAACAGGATGGGTTCAGAAGGCAGTCATCTGTGGTTTGAATCCAGGCTTTGTCTTTTTTTACTTTATGACCTTGAGAATGTTATTTAACATTCCTCTATGTGCCTCCACGTCCTCATCTTTAGAGTCAACATCGTCTTTGTGCCTACTACATAGAGTTGTACTAAGAATTAAAACAGTTGATACACATCAAGCACTTGAACTGTGCCTGAGATGAGGGAAGTGTGTACTAAATGCCAATCTTTATTTTTAATAGCACATCGATTCAAAAGATACGAGGGAGAACTGGTAAGTCTTGGAGATTAATTTGGTAGAAGAGATGGATAGGAAGGAGTCAAGACTGGTTTGTCTGAATAACCTACTAGATGGTGGTGCCGTTTTCAGTCAAGGAGAATGGCGGAAGAGCAGGCTTGTGGCGGTGGGTGACGAGCCCACAGTGAAGGAGAATGGCGGAAGAGCAGGCTTGTGGCGGTGGATGATGTGCCCACAGTGAAGGAGAATGGCGGAAGAGCAGGCTTGTGGTAGTGGATGATGAGCCCACAGTGGATGATGTGACCAGTGAGCCACTGCACAGACAGACCATGCACTCCCGGACCCCAAATACTGAGGCCCGCAGTCCCACAGTGGCTCCCCTCTGTTCATAATTATGGCTTTGGAGTTTGTTTTAATGCCTTCATTGGAAGCACACTCTATTTTTTCTTTTTTTCTATTCGAGTCCATCCCTGTTCAGGTTAGATATGAAGAAACTAAACATGGATTTTTTAATTTTAATTTTTCTTTTTTTTGAGACAGAGTTTTGCTCTTGTTGCCCAGGCTGGAGTGCAGAGGTGCAATCTCGGCTCACCGCAACCTCTGCCTCTCGGGTTCAAGCCATTCTCCTGCCTCAGCCTCTGGAGTAGCTGGGATTACAGGCACGTGTCACCATGCCCAGCTAATTTTGTATTTTCAGTAGAGACAGGGTTTCTCCATGTTGGTCAGGCTGGTCTCCAACTCCTGACCTCAAGTGATTCGCCTGCCTCGGCCTCCCCAAGTGCTGGGATTACAGGTGTGAGCCACCGCACCCGGCCATTGGGATACAGGTTTTTAATCTATGTATGATGTAGTCATTGGAATTTTATTTCAAGATACAAATATCATTTACACAAGACCAGACAGTTGGTTTTTAAAACGTTAGTGCTATAGGAAAATGTTATGAGTTGAATTGTGTCCCCTTAACAGACATGTGGAAGTCTTAATCCCTAGCCCATCAAAATGTGACCTTACTTGAAATAGGGCTGTTGTGGTTGTAATTACTTAAGGTGAGGTCGTGCTAGAACAGGATGGACCCTCACTCCAATATGGCTGGTGTCCTTACAAGAAAAGCAGAGAAACACATGAGGAAAAGATAGGCATGTGGTGACAAAGCTGGAGACTGAAATGATGTATCCACCAACCATGGAATGCCCAGGACTGCCAACCAACACCAGAAGTTAAAAGATATAAAGAAAGATTCTCCCCTATCGGTGTCGGGAGCATGGTGCTGTGAACACCATCAGATTTCTAGCCTCCAGAATGTTGAGACAATATATTTCTGTTGTTTTAACCCACCCAGTTTGAGGTACTTTGTTACTATAGTCCTGAGAGACAAATACAGTATATATTTGTGATTTTCACGATATCATTTTTTAATTCCTTTTTATTTTTTTAAAGAGACTAAGGTCTTACTATGTTGCCTGGGCTGGTCTCAAACTCCTGGGCTCAAGTAATCCTACAGCATTGGCCACCCAAAGTGCTGGGATTACAGGTGTGTGCCAGCGTGCCTACCTTATTTTATTGTTTCTTTCTTTTTTTTTTTTTGAAAGGGAGTCTCTTGCTCTGTCGCCCAGGTTGGAGTGCAGTGGTGCGATCTCAGCTCACTGCAAGCTCTGCCTCCTGGGTTCATGCCATTCTCCTGCCTCGGCCTCCCCAGTAGCTAGGACTACAGGCGCCCGCCACCACACCCGGCTAATTTTTTGTATTTTTATTAGAGATAGGGTTTCACTGTGTTAGCCAGGATGGTCTTGATCTCCTGGCCTTGGCCTCCCGAAGTGCTGGGATTAAAAGGCATGAGCCACTGTGCTTGGCCATTTTATTGTTTCTTTTAAAAAACTGATCTCTGGCTTGTTCCAGTGACATTTAGAATCTTCCAATTGTGAGGTCATACCTCCGGAAGCAGAGACTTAAATCTGTGTTGAATTTCTTTTCCCTCTTTTAAAGCATCCCAAACTAGCTCTGATCAAGGTGGTATCAGATTGTCTTTCCTAAGCAGCTCTGTGGTTGTCATGTATTTGGCATCTGTGATAGAACAAGTAAAAGTAGAGTCCTCCGATGGAAAAGGAGCTTGGTCCCTCAGCCCCCTCAGCAGTTTCCAGGAGCTCAGTTTAAACATCACAGCTCTGGGGGGATTTCATCAGGAGGGTCAACACACAGAGACAGTGTACAACATTCAAAACCTCTGCAGCAAGCGATTTATAGAAACGGTATTTTTCATATGATCTCTTCATTTCAAACCCAGAAGGAAGTCAAGGGTAAAACATGAAAGCATAACTCAGGAAAGGCATTTCTGTGGAGTGCTCGTTGAATGAGGTTTGCGCAGAGCTAATGATCTCACCGCTGTGCGGTTAAAGTATGCTAAGCACACCTGCAGGAGCAAGTGGCCAGCAAACCGCGTGGACTGTCTTCTGTGAATATCCCTTCTCTCGGATAGGCATTGGCCAAGCACTGCATAACAACACTTTTCAGTTAAATTCCCCGGTGTGAACCTAAGACCCGTGGACTCTCTGTTGTTGACTGAAGGACATGCTTTTGCATGGGTACCTGACACCCATGTGGCAAGATTCACATTCCATGATGAAAGTCATGTCGCCGGATGAGTATTCTCACCTCCTTGGAGGACTGTCCTGCCTTTGAGTCAGAGGCTGCTCTCATCAATTACTAAGGAGAAAGAGAAATTTGTTTTTTCCTCAAAAATCAGTATTTCAATTTTCTTTATTACTCATATAATAGGTACTCATTGATGATACATTGGAAAATACGGAAACACAGAACATAAAACTCATTCACAGCCTTTAAGCACAGTTAACATTTTACATGCTCTTCCAGACATATTTCCTTGTACTTTTTTTTTCAAAAAACTACTGTGATATGCAAATTTGCTTTCTTTCTGTTACCAATATATCGCCAACAGTTTTCGTTTGTGCGGATTACTGCAACATTCTGAACAGTTCCCTATTGACGGGCATGTGGATCTGTTTCCATTCTTTTGGAATTAAGAACAGCACATTGACTCTTCTTCTATCCAAGTTATCTGGCATATTGTAAATTATGATCTTAGGATAAAACTCCATAAATAGAACTAATGGGTCAAAAATACACATATTTTGAGGCGTTTGATAAGTATTTCCAAATCATCTCTTAAGTGCATTCCCACCAGCAATATTTTACATCATTAGATCTTACCTCCACTCCCTGCTTCATAGGTGAAATCTGATATCTCTTGGCTGTTTCATTTCTTTAATCTGTAATGAAGTTGAAACGTCCCCCTCCCCCTGCTCCAACACATTCAACACAGTTTTCTGACTCATGCTCCAAAATCTTAACAAATCTTCCTGAACTTTCCAGATTTTGTTTCCTGCCTTGTTGTTTTGGAATTATTACATTATTCCCAGGTATGTAGCATATTATTTCCGGTATTTTCCAGAATACCAAGGAGATCATTTGTCATCCATGTTTGTCACAGCTTTCATCCATGTTTGCCGTGTTTCATCCATGTTTGTCACAGCTTGGTTTTTCAACCGCCTTCTCAGAGGTAAAGATTCTTCCTCAGTTCCTTGAGGGGAAAGAGGAGCCGGTGGAGGTGGGAGCGCTCATTGAACCTGCGCCTTTACTGAAGCAAGAGAACGTCCACCTGGGACAGCCTTTGCTGGTGGAAAACGCTTTGATAAACTAAACTGTCTCTTCCACGTCTTCTCCATGTGACTGGCGTGTGAACTCGTTGCTCTCTCTAAATGAGGCCGTTGAGATGGAAACATAGATGTGTTTATGACAGGGTGACAGCGCAGGTTACAGGGAAGTCCTTGCTAGTGACATCAGCAACTTGTAGCTTAGTGGTGGAGACAGCGCGCTCTGGAGGCCTGGTTCCACACCCAGTGTCCCCCGGGATCGTGTGTGCCTCAGTTTCCTCATCTGCAAAATGTGCCTACTTCACAGAGTCGTTACAATTCAGCCACTCCCTGCAAGGCTGTTAAAACCTGGTGCATTGAAAAGTGCGAAGAGGATGGAAAAGGAGAGAGGGGCGGAGAAGGGAGGGCTTAAAAAGTGGGAGACAGCCTGGGTAGAGCCGAGAAGCGAGCAAGAACAGGTTGGAAGAAAAACACCAACCTGATCCGTCTTGCTTTTCCCTTTTCTCCATGCAGCCAGCGCTTTTCCTTCTCACCCTCCCCAAACGCCCACACCCACCCGCTTCTGCACCGAGAACCTCGAGGCGCGCACGCACGCGGAGGTGACGCCAAGCCCAGCGGCGAGGTCGGGGCCGGGGGTGGGGGCAGCCGGCGTCCCGCGGGCCTCTGTGGCCGGGGAGCTCCGCCAGCGCATTGTGCGAGCGAGCTGAATGCAGCCGAGACGTGCGCGCGCGGGCTCGCACGGATTAGCCGCGCTTTCCCATGAACCACAAAAGAATGCCCGAATCTGGGACGTTTGTCATCAAGGGGCAGGCTGCTCAGGATGCAAGGTAACCAGAGCTTTCCCCGGACTGCTTCAGTCTCTGGGGACGCGGGGTCACCCTAATCCTTCCTGTTTATATTGTGAACGCGTAGGCAGCGAGACTTAAGCTCGGCGATGGTCAATAAGCATCACGACGCAGGCATTCCTGAGCGGCTGCGTCCTCCGGTTGCGTTCTCGGTGTTTTGGAAAAGGCAGCGTTGCCTCCCCTGTATTCAGCCCCCTCACAGCAGCGCGGCTGTAGCGCTGCCGCAGAAGCGCACCCCCACGCTGCCGGCCCCTGTTTTATTTCTTTTTTCTGCATTCGTCCACTTTGCCCTCCAATTATGGCGACGAGTTCAGAAGATTGTGAATATGCAATTGTCCAGACACGTCTAATCGAAGAGTTAATTCTCAGAAAATGACAAGTTTATTGTGGTGTTTGTGGAAGCCAGGAGATAAATTAATTGGTAGAACCCTATTAAAATGCACTCAGAATTCTCCCCCAAATCACACATGTTTCTCTTTCATTCAAATGTGATGCCTTTGAGAACCTGGACTCTCAAGGCTGCAATTTGTGCAGTTAAACGTCTGTTGTTAAAGTTTAATACTGTTTTAACTCCACTCCTAGTCAAAGGAAAGCGAAAGCCTCCTGGAGTTGAGCCTGAAGTCAGAGCTCACAGAAGAAGGGCCGTCCCGGTGGCGCTGCAGGGAGGTGATCTGCTCCTGGAGACAAAGCCCACCCGAAAGGAGCAACACTAGAGGGTTCCAGCAGACACACCTGAGTACCAAAGGACCCGCCCCCAGCTAAACCTGTTTGTCTTCAAGAAATAGTGAACGTGTTCTTCTTGAGTTGTTTGTTTATTGATTCATTCCACAACCATGTATGAAAGGTTCAAAGATTCTGAGCCTTGTGCTAGGAATTGGAAGAGGAATCGGATGGATCTGCTTTGGAGGGGTTCATGGGGCAGAGGAGGAGGAGAGGCAGGGAAGCACATGGTTGGGTGTGCTGAGTGCCAAAGTCAGGTTACTAGTAGATGATGTTTAGGAGAACAGACAGGAAGCTGAGAGGATGGGGTGAGATTTCCAGAGAAAGTGGTATTTGGAGAGGGTGTTAGCATTGGTTCTCAATTTGCTCATGCTTTGGAAGGAACTTAAGGAGGGGACACAAATTCATATTCTGTGCCCCCACTCCCGTACCAAGTTATAATAGAATCTCCGAAGGTAGGGCAGGGAACCTGTATTTAACAAGTGACTTCGCGCACTCTATGGTGGTCAGCTGAGTCTTTGGTCCCATTGAAAGCATGAGCAACAGTGGTGTGAGGGGAAGGGTTTGGGGCTAATGGAACAGCATGTGCGAATACAGCAGGGGTGAGAGAGACCTTGTTTGGCCGATGGTGAGTTGTTAAACCATTCGTCTCAAGAGCCTGTGGTTGGTATTCCTGCAACAACTGTGTAGAAAGCCTTCACTTCTAGAATTTATTTGTTCCCTTAAGTTGACAATTGTATTACTCTAGTAGGAATCAATGGAGAAAAAACACACATTATAGTACAGTTAAGTCTTAACGTGGTTGATAGCTCTTGGAAACTGAAACTTTAAGTGAAACGGAGTATAACAAAACTATTTACCATAGGCTAAATGATATAAACAAGCAAATTATTACCGCATGTTTCTGGTCACAAAAACATTACCAAAATTCTAAATAAAGACTCAACGCCCTTCTAATATTAAATATTGAAATAAATGTGAGCTATAGACACACTTAAGAAAGATTAATAAAAACAAGTAAGAATTATTTACCTGATTATTTCAGTTCAGGATTGAGGATGGCCAGACCCCCTCTTGGTTGTTGAGGGCAGCAGTTGGGAACCCTCCCTGGACCCTGGATGGGATGCCATCCCATCGCAGGGTGCACTCACACACACAGCCACGCTAACACTGGGATATTGTAGACACACCAACTTACCTAACGTGCACATCTTTGGGATATGGGAGAAAACTGAGTACCTGGAGAAGACCCATATAGACATGGGAAGACTGTGCAAACTCACACAGACAGTGGCCCTGGTGGGGAAGCGATGCTTTTTTCTCATCAGTGTTTTTTTGAGACAGAGTCTTACTCTGTCGCCCAGGCTGGAGTGCAGTAGCATGATCTCAGCTCACTGCAACCTCCACCTCGTGGGCTCAAGCAATTCTCTTGCCTCGGCCTCCCCAGTAGCTGGATTACAGGTGCGCGTCTAGCTAATTTTTGTATTTTTACTAGAAACGGGGTTTCACCATGTTGGTCAGGCTGGTCTCAAACTCCCGGCCTCAAGCAATGCCCCCCCACCACGGCCTCCCAAAGTGCTAGGATTACAGGCATGAGCCACCGCACCTGGGCTTTCTCATCAATGTTATTTTGAAAAGATGTTGAATCAAATGATGGTATTTGAGGACCTGCCATACTTGATTTAGGGCCCCTCTCCAGCAAGACAAGCACACACAAACACACTGCTGAAATGTATCCAGTTAACATAATGAGAGAGACCTGTTTTTCTGAGGGTTGCCAGGTATCTCATACAAAGTCTTAGATAAAAGGTAAATTCTTATTTTGAAAACACTAGATTAATGGCTGAATATTTATTTTATAAGTAAATAATTATTTTGCAACTACATCATAAAATATGTAGTCATAAAGGCTTTCCATGTAATCAGCTGTGACAGAAAAAGCTTTTGAGATGCTTGTGGGGGAAAAGTTATTGTACAGAACTGAATTGTAAAGCAACTGGCCCTTTCTATTTTAAGCCTTGTAACTAGCCAGTGATATGAAGTGTTGAAGTATGAGAATGGAGACATTTATTAAATTTTCTCAACTAAGGAGGTATTCAAACTTGATTTTCTGTTTCATAATTAAAGCTTCAAGTCTTCTGACAAACACTACTGCAATACATGTCACCTCTGGTTATTTTTTTCTTCCTTATCCTTAATTCATTGCTGAATGTTTTAAATAAGTCATTCCTTCTGTCTGCATTAACATTTAAATCCACACCTGCATGCAAAGATTTCCTTAAATCTAACCTTCCAGTGGAACTTTTTCCAATTAAATGAAGGGAACTTCCTTTTCAGCTGTTACATTAAATAGCCCCTCCTCAGTAAAACCTTTTCTGATTCCTAGACCTTTCCTGGATCCTGGCCCTCATTAGCACTTATAAGTCTTCTCCTGAATTGCCCATAAATATAGTGTTTATTTGTTTAATGTCTCTTTTTCACCCCCTTAAGCTCCTGAGGATGGAGACCTTATGCATCAAGTTCAACAATGTGTCCCCAAATCTAGCACATATAATTGTTCAATAATATTTGCCAAATTACTGAATAACTACAGATTTTCATAAATTGGAAATACCATCCTTCCTTAGACCAATAACTCCTTCCGAGAGGCCAGGAGACATGCTTTTCTACCAAGGGATGTAGGGGGGACTTACCAGACATTTGTTGTCTGCGATTAGTAATCAGGGATATACCTGTGCTTTTAAAGTCTTTTATTAGACCAGACTGTTGCTTTTGTAAGGATCTGAATGGCCATGTCAATTATCGTCTAGTGAGCATCTGTTAAACACTCAGCCCTCTGTTAAGCAAAAATGCAACATTAGATTTGGTCCCTACCCTCAGAGATGTCATTTTTGGTAATTGTTTTTCTAGTCATTCTCCCGCATACTCAGGGAAGAAGCCCCACCTCACTCCTGGGGTGAATTTTGATTGGTCCAAACCATTCTGGCTGGTCTGTTTCCCCTTGTTAGTAATTGGCTAAGCAGGGGCATGTGATACGTTTCCTGATCCTGGTCAACTAGATATAAGGAAAATGGCTGAGTGGTGGTCTTCTGTGAAAGGATTTTTTTTTTTTTTTTAAAGAACACATTAGAGAAACTTCTCCTTTTCCTACCCCGTGTGTTATTGTATAAGGAGAAAGTCCTTGGAGCTATCACAGACATCCTGGGACCGTACGGCAATCATCCTGAAGACAAAAGTCACTGCACTGAGAAAGAAGGAAAGATTCCAGGCCCTTAATTGCATAGAGGTGGGTCCAGTCGCTGATTAACCCTAAAACTGTTCCACCTGTAGTCTTTTGTGAGCTAGTACCAGTTCTATGGTTTCAGGTACATTTAGCTGTGTTTTCTGTTCTTGTAACTGAAAGCACCCTAACAGATACATGTAATCCAGGGAAGCACTGTGACATGTACATTAGTCTTGTGATGGAAGCAGAAATAGTCTCTTTATTTTTTTCTATAAGACCCCGAGTAAAAGTAGAGAGAAGTTTTATTTGTTGCAATTCCATGGTTCCATTTTAGGTCACACCTACATGCACAGAAGGCTGTCATTTATTGAATACCTATTCTGTGTGAAGTGCTTTATTTTATTAATCCCCATAACAACTGTAGACCTACTTTACAGATGAAAACCGTGAAGCACGAAGATTTCAAGGACAAAGCCCTGCTAGGAAGTGGTAGAGCTAGGATGTGAAACCAGATCAAAGTTCTCTTTAATAGCTGGCATTGCTTCTCAGTCATCAGGTTGTTGATATCTGTTGCATAGTGTATCCATTAAGCAATTTATGACAAATAACAAAGCACCAATGTTGAAATGTGTGAGGACAGATTCAAGGCTAAGCCTACATAAAGTCGCTCGCGTGAACTTGCATTCCAGTGTGTTTGCCTTCTGTTGTGGGAGGGGAGAGGGTAGAGCTCTTTCCAGCCCTCAGAAAATTGTGCTTACCCTACAGCCCCCCTGATCTGCGCGGCAGCCTTGAATGTGGGAATGAGTAGAAGAAGAGGCAGGTGAAGGTTTTGCCCCCGAATGTCCTGGGAGAAAGTGCTAAGAAATTCAGCCACAGGACTGGGATACAGGGCTCTTCTTTGTCACTGTTAGGTAATCTTGATTCCTCACTCCATAACTAGAAGGGGTTCTGGTATAATTGTGATTTTAAAAGCAAAGCTGTTACATGTGTTAAAAGTCATAGAGCTATGTACAAAAAAAAAAAAAAAGTCAGTTTTACTTAACGTAAAGAGAAAGCCAAGCGGGGTCATTACAAAGGTGTGCCCCTCTGGAAATGTGGTGTCCTTTTCTTGACACCACCAGTGATAAGTATCCAAGGACATGGAGGTCCTGGTCACAAATCAGCGCTCAGAAGACAGGTTGAGGGGCCAGTAGCAAAAAAATGCTCAGAGTCGGGGGCGTTGTCAAGTGGCAGGGAATTAAAGAGGAGTAACCAGTTTATTAAACAGGTCAGAACTTCTCATGAGGCTGACTTCATTTCACCCCAGTGAGCCCATTGAACTTACTCTATGACCTCACTCTAACTTGCTCTTTGGAAGAAGTCTGGGTCAGATCACATAACCTTGGTGGTTATTATTTGTTTCTTTGTTTAAAATTTTTAAAAATTTGTGGTAAAATATGTGTAACATAAAGTTGACCATTTTAACCATTTTTAAGTGGCATTACGTAGATTCACATCCTTGTACAGCCATCCCCACCACCTGTCTTCCCAAACTGCAACTCTGCACCCACGACCCACTAGCTGTCCATTCTCCCCTCCCCAGCCCTCGGCAACCACCCTTCTACGTTGTGAGTTTGACCGTGTACTTCATACAAATGGAACCATACAGTGTTTGTCCTTTTGTCACTGGCTTATACTACTTAGCATAACATCCTCAAGACTCATCCGTGTTGGAGTGTGTGTTGGAATTTCCTTGCTTTTTAAGGCCAAATCATATTTCACTGTATGAATGTACCACATTTTGTGTGTCCTTTGATGTGTCGTTGGATACATGGGTTGCTTCTACCTCTCGGTTACTGTGAACCCTGCTGATGTGAACATGGGTGTGCAAATGTCTTTTTTCAAGTTCCCTGCTTTCCATTCTTTCGGGTGTACACTCAGAAGTGGAATTGCTGAATCATATAGTAATGCTATTTTTAACTTTTTGAGAAACCGCCATACTGTTTTCCACCGAAGCTGTGCCATTTTACATTCCTGGATGGTTATTCTTAGAGAACCAAAATCCCAGTCCAGTCTGACAATCATATGTCTCTGGTTCAGCCCGGTGCAGTTTCAAAATGTGATATTTTTATCACACAACAGCTTCTCTCCTCTGCAGCTTGGGCCTTCTTTCTACTTAGAAACCCGCCAGGGAGGGACACGGCCGGCTCATTCTCCCTCCTTGCTTTCCGTCATCTCACGCTCGCTGGCTGGCTGCTTTGGCTCCCCAGGGTCAGGCACTGGGTGGGGTGCGGGGAGTTAGGAACACCAGTGACGTCTGGCAGTGGTCCCCTCTGGGTGGGACTGCTGTCCAAAATGACTTTCTCTCATTGAGTCCCTTTGCGAGTTTCTCAGAAATCCTTTCTCCAGCTACTGGGGAGGCTGAGGCAGGACTGCTTGAGCCTGGGAGGTCAAAGCTGCAGTGAGCTATGATTGAACCGCTGCACACCAGACTGGGCAACACAGCAAGACCCCATGTCTTTTAAAAATTCCTTCTTGGACTCTGTTTCTGGCAATGCGTTTCCTCTGGCTATGTGTGGGTCATGCTCAGCCCCTGGGATCCTAGCAATCTGTCCCTGTGCAGGGGGTGTCTGTTCCTCCAAAGGCTCCTTGTAGGTAGAGTCCTTTTTTTTTTTTTTTAATGGCACCCCTAGGCCAGCTCTTTTGTGCTGTGGGTAGAAGTGTAGCTTCCTCCCTATGAAGCCTTTCCTCTGGTTGCTCTGCCAATGCTTGTCAGCCTCCTGTGTTTAGATGCGTATCCTGGAAGAGCCGGTTACCAGCTCCTCTTTCTCCTAAATTCCACAGGACCCATGTCAAGCTGCTGGTCTGGGTTTCTTGAAGTCTGCTCTTACTCAGGCTTAATGTGGGGTAACCACACCCTCCCTCTCCCGTGAGCTGCAGTGATCACTGGTGACTTTCCAATACGCAGTCCTTCCTGCCCTTCTTCTCCCCTACAAGCCTCCAGGGTGGTGATGGTGATGGGATAATGCTAGCAGAATCAGATCCACAGTCCCCTGTTTTTCTTACAAAGGTGAACTAGTGTCTTCCTCCAGGGCAGCGTTTCTCAACCACAGCCCTACTGACATTTGGGGCCAGAAAATTCCCTGCTGTGAGGCCTGCCCTGTGCATTTCAGGATGTTTAGCAACATCCCTGGCCTCTGCTCACTAAATTCCAGGAGTATCACCTCCAGTTGTGACAACCAAGAGTGTCTCCAGACATTGTGAAATACCTCTTGGGGGGCAAACTTGCTCCTGGTTGAGGAGTACTGCTTGGGGCATCTGGAGCTGCTTTCGGCCTTCGGTGTTCCACAGAGCCCCGTTTTGTTACTCTGTGGTAGATGGCTTCTGATATAAAGGAGCTAGAGCCGGGCTGCAGGCACACCCTGAGGAGACTTGCCAGAAGCTAAATTGGAGTCGTTTCTGTTTACTGCCATCTTCTTGTCTCTTTAGAAAATTCTTGTTTATATGTTGCAACCTGGCCTCAGCTGTAACCCAGGAGGTCAAAAGGCAGGTGACATGGGCACACGGGGAGGGAATGCAGGCTCTCCGCGACCTGCCCCGGCAAGGCCAGCCTTGGTTGTGGGGCGGTTGATAATTAGTGAGCCTTCACAGAGAACAATCATCTGGGCTTCAAAATCCTGCTGCCTCTTCCCACAGGGAGAACCTCCCCTCTTTGTTACCCTAGGCAGATCTGGATTTCTTTCCTTTTTTTTTTTTTCTTTTCTAAGGAAATCAGCAGTTTCCTTGTTAGGTTCCATTGGGATTGGACAAACCTTAAGAGCCAGGGTGTGGGAGCTGAGCTGTCTGAGCCTGTCCTGCTTCAGGTCAGGTGTGTTCTTGGGACCTGGTACAGAGCTGGGCCCTGCATGGCGGAAGGGGAGGAAAGTAGCTGTTATTGACTGGACAGTCTGATAGGAACC